ATCAAAATGCAATTAGGTAAGAGGAACAAATTGTAGTATTCTATAGTGTAGGATGGTGTCTGTAATTTACAACAATTTATTGTAGATTTTATAAATAACGAGAAAAGAAGAGTTTGAAGGCACTAAATAGAAAATGGTAAATCTTCAAGGAGGTAGAGATATCAATTATCTGATTTTTAATCTTTTTTTTTTCCCCGAGACAGGGTTTCTCTGTGGCTTTGGAGCCTGTCCTGGAACTAGCTCTGTAGACCAGGCTGGTCTCGAACTCACAGAGATCCGCCTGCCTCTGCCTCCCGAGTGCTGGGATTAAAGGCGTGTGCCACCACCGCCCGGCTCTTTTAATCATTTTTATACACATATATTATACTTCATTAATATGCATAATTGTCATATGTCAATTAAAATATAAAAACTGTCTGCCACAAGCCTCTTTATTTCTATGTAAAAAAGTTCTTGGGCCATCGAGATGGCTCAGAGGTTAAAGATGTTTGCTGTTAAGTCTTCTGATCTGGGTTTAATTGCTGGGACACACATGGTAGGAGAGAACTTGACTCCCACTTGTCCTTTGGCTTCCATATTCACACCTTGGCACACAAGCACACACTCGTATACACACAAGTGCACATACGCAAATAAATAAATAAATAAATGTAATTTTAAAATTTGAAAACCAAAACTTCAAAATATTTTTTTAAAAAGGGCTCTGTTCCTCTTTGTGTTCATGTATGTACACGTAAATGTGTACGTTCATGCATGTGGAGGTCAGAGGATAACATTAGGTGTTCCTCAGGTGCTACAACTTATTTTATGAGACAGGGTCTTTTACTGGTCTTGAATTTTCCAAGCTGGTTAGGCTGACTTACCAGAGGGAAAGAGAGTCACATGGGTCTATGTGTCTCCTCCTATCAGTGCTGTGATTATGATGTGTGCTTTTCTTTTTTACTGTAAAATTTTGGGATCAAACTCAGGTCCTCAAGTTTGCAAGGTATTTGATTTAAAAAGCAGACCACCAGACAGAAATAGAGAGAGAGAAACACACACACACACACACACACACACACACACACACATACACAGAGAGAGAGAGAGAGAGAGAGAGAGAGAGAGAGAGAGAGAGAGAGAGAGAGAGAGAGA